TTTTTTTTTTTTTTTTTTTTTTTTTTTTTTTTTTTTTTTTTTTTTTTTTTTTTTTTTTTTTTTTTTTATAAAAATTCAATAGAAAAAAGAAACTCCAACAAGTTTGATTGAAAAAATTTAAATAATAGTTTCTTATATAACTTTCTGATACCGCTCGATTTTCTCACTTCATTTTTATTTATTTTCTTCTTTAACTTTTTTGAACAAAGTTGAATAGAGGAGAGATTGGTTTCACCGACAGTTATAACACAATAAAAAAAAAAAAAAAAAGATGAAAGAACGAACATGTGAAAACCTATATATTAATTCACGTTGTTGCCAATATTGCACCGCTCCGGGCAGAAACAATCAGTGACAGAATGATATGACACCAAATTCTATTCAGTTGTTTGCGCATCCGATCAATTTTTCAAGTCAATTTTCTCAGAAACGAAGCGAAACGTTTTTTCATACACTATTTCCTATGTATGGCGAACTTTGATGATTAATTTTAGAATATCGGACTCCTCCGTGACAAATGTCTATACTTTCGAAACTGGTTTGGATCTTTGACTCAAATCATTATGATTTTCGCCGAGTCACGCAAGAAAAAATATATCTCTCTCGGAATTCGATCCACTTCGCATTCTAATCGAAATCTGATGAAGAATGGAAACTGTCGTCGACAGATATCGGAGAGAATTATTCATAATTTTGGCCCATGATCTTCCGTCTCTGAATACGTAATCAAAATTATATTCAACCGAGGGGGACTGATTAATGGCCTCATCGAATCCTGGATTAGCATACCCATTGACATGCGAGAACAGTGTTTCAAGCTCTGCTTGTCATCGTGGCCGAGTCTACGGGGCTTTAAGTGAAAAGATTCGATCTCGAACAGAGATCGTTCTCGAACGGTCAATTATTGCCCCGATAATGCGAATCAGGTCGCTGCGAACAATCGAGCGTGCGGCTGACCAGGTTCAAAAGTCACGAAGTCATTGTCAGTCACTGGTTTTAAAGCCGGGTGAAAAGTGGATCGTGATGTTCATGCGTGACTTTTCGGCTTTCAATTAAATCGGAAAGTCTGTCCTTTGTCCTCGAGTTGGCCAAGCCTCTCTCTTCCTCTTCGTCTCGTTTTCTCTCTCTCTCTCTCTTCTTTTTTTTTTAATTAAATTACCGCGTTTCCGTATACGCAGAGAGGACAGCTCGTACTTGCGCGTTTGAACAAAGAGAATAAAAAATAATTTTCGCCGTGAAGTTTCCCGGATCAAGCTGCGTCGAGCGGTGTCAAAATTAAAAACTTTTTTCATTTCACCTGCTGCGAATCGATCTGTCGACCGTGATGACGTCGTTCTTTTGGAAATGCAAGCCTTCCGCGTCGAACTATGTATCTGCAGAATTTTTGCTACAACCGGAATTTCCCGCGGAGAGGAAAAGATTGCGCCCCAATTTGAAATCCGGCGACTAAATGCTAAAAATGAATATTAGATATTTTACGTAATTACATCCTATATTGTGATATTACAATATACTAAATTTTTTAGTAAATGACTAATACTAGAAATGAATATCATATATTTTACATCTTATATATTGTAATATTATGCTATACTGAATTTTTTTTTGCTACACTAGAAATTTTCTAAATTTTCAATTTAGAAATTTAAACGATTCTATGAGAAGTACAATTTTGAGAAACATATTACGCTATAAAATCTCTTTAGCATAAGTTTCATACTTCTGGTTGACGATTAAAATATTGAAAGTATATTCGTGAAGCACACAATAGTGAAGCAATAAGTATTTTCAAAATGTAAGTACATTGATTTATCTTTCAGTTGCACGTTGTTCCATTATAACCAGAACTTTGTTTATTTATGAAAAAAATATTGTTAATCATTTGTAATTATTTACTTTTAATAACATAATTAGACTTAATTCATATTCATAACAATATAATACAGTATAATTGTAATAAAATTAATATAATATAATATTCCAATATATACATTAAATAATAATATTATAATTACATTTAGTTCCAAATCCGGAGACTAACGATCGTTATAAATAATTCACTTGGTACTTCTGCGATACTACCGAGACACAATGACGGAGAATTGTGACTTTCAAGTTGCTGGATGTTCTAGAGATTTAACGTCGTTGCAGCAGAAGAACAACTATACTAAATAATCGATGCGCCCCCGTCGCAGAGAGACGAGAAATTACAAAATTTTAAGACCGTCTGGCTCGGAACCGAATACGACAGCCAGAAACGTTATTACAAATGCAAATTCTCGCGTGTTTGTTTTCCATTATATTTTTTCCTTCATTTTTTTTTTTTTTTTTTTTTTTTTTTTTTCTTTTTTTTTTTTTTTTTTTTTTTTTTTTTGTTTCCTTCTTTGCTCGTGTTTCACACTTAAATATTTAACGCTCGGTGCGTCCGCTTGTTATTACGTAATCGTGCTCTCCTCCAAACGGGACGGAATCTAAAGAGTACACGCGTTAAATACACTCGAGTCATTTCAATTTCACGCAATTTTTAATGTTACATAGCTGTTACGTGCAATGATACGTTTCATCCTCCAAAGAAAACTACCAGGCCGCGAAGAGTTCCTGACGTTGACTAATGTTTTCCATACGTTTGAGAATCCACTCCGTTGCAAGCGGGAAGCACAGCTGGCAATTAATATGAAAAGGCAACTGCAGAAATATCGGGAGAGACAAACAATTATTTCTATGATTTTTCGTGCCCCTCTGCTTGGTGTTACGTACAATTTATCTTGCCGCATTTCCTTGTCCATTAATCTAAACCCTTATACGGCGAGCGTTCGCTTCTTCTCCCGTCGTAATTAGAAAAATTACGTGCCCGTCAGATTGCCTTTCTGCTTTTCATTTTTTTTCTTTTTCTGATCAACTCGAGAAACATTGATTGATAATAATAATTCCGTGGATCCTTTCCATTAATCTTATTGATTAAAGAATCGAAGAATCGACTTTCATTTCTATGATTCTTCTTGTTTGGTCTCGTAATCTCCCGACAAATTTTTGTTTACTATACGATTTGGGAAAATACGATGAAAAGGTTTGAAGGCGATTTTTAAAAATTCTACAATAACGAAGATGACGTACAATTCTTACAGAATTTTCTCTACATTCTAGTATCTAGGCCCTCAAAGGTTAGGCAAATTTTTCAACATAATACCCAGTCCCCGTAGCGAAACTACATGGCACGAATAAACAATTTTCTACTATTAAAAACATTTGGAAACGATTTCCAAAAATTTCACGATAATGTACAATTTTTGTACAATTTTCTAAGTCCTTAAAAGTTGGACAAATTTTTTCAACACAGTACCCAAACGCCGTGGCAAAACTACATAACACAAACAAACAGTTTTCTACTATTGAAAACATGATGAGAAATAGACTTAAACATTTGGAAATAAATTTAAACATTTGGATGAGAAATAGATTTAAACATTTGTACGATTTTTACACAATTTTCTCTGCGTTCTCGTACCTAGGCCCTCAAAGGTTGGGCAAATTTTTCAACACAGTACCCAGGCCACGTGGCCGAAACTGCATAACACGAACGAACAGTTTTTCACTGTTGAAAACGTGCACGTTCGTTTTCGAACGAAGCCGGCGATTGCCGATCGGATGCAAGATTCCGCGCGTACAGCGACGCGGAACTCCCGTCGAATTACACGCGAATTTCCACATGGTAAAGCGAAACGGCGTGGCGCGCCATGGAGATGGCGATCAACGCCACGGGGACAAACGGGCGAGACAATCGGTTCGAGATCTCTTTATGGCCGGCGTACCGCAGCTTTCGGCCGCAAAATCGTACAAAAGGTCGCAAACTTACAATTAACCGTAGCTCTGTGTATTCGCAAGCGAGCGACTACATATGAATACCTACATAGGGAACACGAGACACGCATAATTAGCGACGGGAAAGGCGGAAACGTGACCGAGCGTGGAACGCAATATGGCCGAAGGAGCGTGATTGAAGCGCACGACAATGCACCGGAACGGTTGAACGGTCGCCACGTAGCATATTTGCAGGAAAATTGGATTGCCATCGCGCTGCAGTCGTCGGTGTCTCTCTCTCTCTCTCGCTCGCTTCATCTTCGTCTCACTCTGTCTTTGTTCTTTGTTGATATTCAATTCCGGCCAGGAGGGGGAGGGGGGGGGCGCAAACCGTGAGATTGTCGCGAGACAAGTCAGGAAGGAAGGTCAGAAAGTGTGGCCCGAGCCCTGGAGGAAAATCCGCGCCGCGCCGCGCCACCGGCCAAAAGGAAATTAATCAAGCAACTCTGTATGCCAGCCGTGCCGGCCGAGCACACCTGAACTGAAATTGAAATGCCGGGGCTGAAGCCGAGGCCGTAACCCGCGAATATTATGAGGATTATCCGTGGGAGAAGGCCGCTGGCGCCACCGAGAAGTGGCAAGACCTCGATTTCAACCTTACATCGCGGCCGGATCGAGGAATCGTGACCGGAGCCGACTGACATCCGATTCCTAACCGATCCCCCTCCGGGTCTTACCTTTTCCGGATCTATTACCGCGATACAGAGAATCGTCGTTTCTCAAAGCTTTTCAGGAATTCGCTTCAGGGATGGTGGCGAAGTTCCGTTTGAAACAGCGAGTTTAATCAGTAGAATGAAACTGGAATTTAGCCGCGAGATTATAGCCTCAATCGAGCAATCGTGATGGCCAACAGATGGTAGACGTTAGACATCTTGAATTAATAAAAGTAGATTGTAAGGAGCGAGTAAATTTTACTTACGACGGGAATTTGGACAAAGAAATTCGCAACGCGACTGCGACGTTTTTTTCTTTTTTTGTGAAATTATATTTATTGATTTTATTCGTTGTGTCTCTTTTTTATTGAGACAACTTGAATTTTCGCGAGATTATAGCCTCAGTCGAGCAATCGTGATGGCCAACAGATGGTAGACGTTAGACATCTTGAATTAATGAAAGTAGATTGTAAGGAGCGAGTAAATTTTACTTACGACGGAAATTTGGACAAAGAAATTCGCAACGCGACTGCGACGTTTTTTTCTTTTTTTGTGAAATTCTATTTATTGATTTTATTCGTTGTGTCTCTTTTTTATTGAGACAACTTGAATTTTCGCGACATTATAGCCTCAGTCGAGCAATCGTGATGGCCAATAGATGGTGGACGTAGACATCTTGAATTAATAAAAGTAGATTGTAAGGAGCGAGTAAATTTTACTTACGACGGGAATTTGGACACAGAAATTCGCAATGCGACTGCGACGTTTTTTTTTTTTTGTGAAATTCTATTTATTGATTTTATTCGTTGTGTCTCTTTTTTATTGAGACAACTTGAATTTTCGCGAGATTATAGCCTCAGTCGAGCAATTGTGATGGCCAACAGATGGTGGACGTAGACATCTTGAATTAATAAAAGTAGATTGTAAGGAGCGAGGAAATTTTACTTACGATAAAATTTGGACAAAGGAATTCGCGATACGACTGCGACTTTTTCTATGAAATTCTGCCTATTTATTAATATTATTCGTTATGTGTTTTTTTTTTTTTTTATTGGGGCAACTTGAATTTTCGCGAGATTATACCCTCAGTCGAGCAATTGTGATGGCCAACAGCTGGTAGACATCTTGAATTAATAAAAATAGATTGTAAATTTTATTTACGACAGAAATTTGGACAAAGAAATTCGCGATGTGACTGCGACGTTTTTTTTTTCTTTTTCTTTTGAATGAAATTTTGTATTTATTGATTTTGTTCGTTGTGTTGAGACAACTTGAATTTTGCGAGATTATAGCCTCAATCGTGCAACTGTGATGGCCAACAGATGGTAGACGTAGATGTTTCGAATCAATGAAAAAAACAGATTGTAAAAAGTGTATGAAACTGCACTACATCTATTGGTTCATTATGTATATTTGAATTTTCCACGAATGATAAATCTCTTTCACGTATGTATAGCCATAACTAGTAGAATGTAATGAAAGTAGATCGAATCGATCGCGAACGAACAAAACCGGTGTTGTTTTTCTTTCGGAAAGCTAACGAACAAGTGCGTGAATGGTTCAATAAAAATTTGAACGTGACGATTCGCGGCGTGACAGCGTGACGATTCTATGAAATTTCACAACACATCTGTCGACTTTATTGGTTCATCGTGGCCGCGTGTCTTTTTAAGACTTTTTATTAAAAAATTTTTCCCCGAGTTGACGCGAATAACGGTTTCGAGTGTCGCTTCGGTTTCGCGGCAACGGAAAAATTGATTGATCGATGAAAGGGATTCGATAGAAATTTGACATGTCAAACACGGGTCTATTTGAACTCGTGACACGTCGATATCAAAGTAATAGACGAAAATACAAGCCGCTGTTTAAGCACCATTTCCCTCGCGGTACCCGGCACGCGCTGGAATAGTGAAAAACGTCAAGTATCACCAAGTAACTAACCTTTTACGTTTTGCTAAACAGTCTTAACAATAAGCCGTGTTCTACCTCTACACTGTGACGGTTGCTGTGTCACTGTCGCTGTGTTTTGTCCAACGTGCACTCGTAAAAGATCTTTTCTGCTCGTTGTCTTCGCTGAGACTTTCGCTTCCCAAGTTTCTTTAGACGTTTCCTCAGTTGCCAGTTCTTTTATCTCGTTATATTCAAGGATCTTTCATCTCCCTGCAAACGAATTTTCTTTTTCAAATACTTTCTTCGTTTCTATCCTCCCTTTCTACGCTTGCTGTGTATTTCTTCGAGATGGTACCCAAGGTCATCCCTGTTACTGAACCTGCGCGTATGTCAGACTGTTTCCAGTACTTACTATTCATTATTTCACTGGTTATGATTGTTATTGTTTTTATTTTTCTGAGCACCTTTCGTTATAAAAATTCTCTTTGTGTTTCTATTTGCGGGCGCGGGATGTTTCCAATCCTTTTTGTTTCCCCCAGATAAATTATAAAAGTGATAATTTACAAGCGAGAACAAAGAGAAAGTGTATTATTTATTTAGTAATGTTATAAATTGTTACTAAATTATTTGAACATTTAGAGTGGGAATAAATAATAATAATAATAATAATAATAATAACAATAACAGTGTGAGTAATAAGAGTAACATTTCTGAATATATGTGATATACAAAATGCACAACTATTGTACCATCAGATTGATAAAATTTGGAACAATGTGTATATGTGGAAGAAGCATGCGTAAAATTTACGAAATATCTACTATATTTACTAACTGTATGTTTGTAATAAATATTTTATAACTTTATACCAGAATTACTTTCAGGTATTTTACAATTATCATAATAATCACTGTGTTACTGATTATCAATTGTTTAATAAAAAAAAAGTTAAATTAAAATGTTTCAATTTAAAAATAGAAAGCACATAACGTATTTACAAAAATTTCCATGGTTCTTTAAATGCGGAGAAAAAGATTCTTTGCTTAAAAATTAAAAACACCTTGTAATCTCATCTCGTATACCATAGTGCGCTCCACGTATAGTTCCTTTTATAGAAACGTCGCTGTCAATCCGCCTTGTAATGGACACATTGTTTAGCCCTTGCTCGAATTTCAACGGCATTGTAGTCGGTGGAACAGATATAAAGAATTCTTCCACATTTTTTGACAGTAAACGAATTTCAGGTCCTTTCAGTTCAGAAACTTTTATGACACGATCGATCAGCAATTCCAGCATACTTTCCGAATGGAGCCTTTTGAAAACGGTGGGTTTTGTTTCGAGAAGAGAAACGTTATCAACGTTGCAAATTCGTTTATTCAATGGCTGTCTCCTTTTTTTTTTCCTGCGTTTTATCGAGAAAGTCGAAAGCGACGAGAACAATTTTTACATTATCAGCGTGTCACTGAAGTACGAAGAATTTAGGGATATTAATTCCTTTTTGCTGAATTTAACAAAATGGCCATTTTCGTATTTTTCTCTTATTAGTCTTACGTCATTATTGATGAGTTTCTTTATAATTGTTTTATTGCAAGCTCTGTTACGCGTTTATTTTGTGTCAGTTAGATGTAAAATTAATTGTTGCTATTCCTTCAATTGTTCATATAGGAATTATATTAATAAGAATAATATTAATAACAAAATTAAGATTATATGGAAGATATTTTGTTAAATAATTAGACATGGATTTATTTCTTCTGGATTATTTTATTCAATAATTTAATTTATAATCAAACTAATAGACGATTAATTTTTATTAATAAAAGGATAATTAACTTTATATCTTCATTAATAATAATATGGTTTTTAATATGTCTAATGCAGATTCTCCTTTTTCTTTAAATTTAATTAGAGAAATTTTATTATTAATAAGTTTGATTTATTGATTTAAATATTTATTTATCATTCTAATAATTTATCGTTTGTTACTTTTCATCTATTCAGTATATTTATTTAGGTTTGTTGAACATGGAAAAAACTGTCGAATGATTAAGTCGAGAGCTGCCTTACATTGTAAAGTAGTTTTATTTTATACTATACCATATTTTATACTATACAGTAGAGTATACAAAGTATACTATACAGAGTATACAGAGTATACTATACAGAATATTTTATACTATACCATATTTTATACTATACAGAGAGTTGTCTTACATTGTAAAGTAGTTTTATTTTATACTATACTATATTTTATACTATACAGTAGAGTATACAAAGTATACTATACAAAGTATACTATACAGAGTATTTTATACTATACCATATTTTATACTATACAGAGAGTTGTCTTACATTGTAAAGTAGTTTTATTTTATACTATACCATATTTTCTATGTTATAAAATTATCCCTTGGAACGTTTACAATCTTCATCTTTCTGAAAGCAACACGATGAAAATTTGTGTTACGATGATATGAATATTTAATCAAACATATCCGTCGGTTCTGACGTGCAAGAAACTGACAGCAAACACGAGTATAAATTTTCAGATAATAAATTGAAACATCTCTTAATACGTTTCATCGGCGCGAATAATCAGTTTGAGGCCGTCATCTTAATTGTTCAGGATCAAATGAATGATTCCCTCCTATTATAGTTTCGCTCGCAAGTTTAATTGCTGCTTTAATTATTTTCAAAGGCAATTAGAACTGAGAACTAGTCCCCGCGGCTCTGCGCTTTCTGTCTTTAAAATATACAGAACGTCATAAAGCGCGGCGTCAACGCAGATCAAAAGGCAGAGGAGGACAAAGTGGACAAATATTACAACGAAGTTCATCTCTTGTTGACCTTGAGCCAATTCATTTCGGGCAAAGAATGACTCAGATGTTTGCCAGTTGTTACTTTCCATCGAACAACTAACTGCGATTGTTAATTTCTGGCACGAAGTCTGGAACATTGTCTCTTCCGTGTTTAGTTAATTGAATTTTTCGAAAGTCTTCAAGTGCGACGAGTTCGGTTGACTATAGACACTGATTGGCGAGTATGCGATATATTTTCATATCAATAGAGAGAGAATGGAAAAATGTTCAAAAACTTTTATTGTCCACGAGACAATGTTTGATGAAAATATAATTGTAAATTGTTATTATTTTCTAAGTTTCTAAACATAGTATTCTAGTCTAACGATGTAAATTGTGAAGAAAGTTATTTTAAAAATTGTTAAATCATCATCGAAATTTCATGGAAAACCTAAGTACTGAATTTTAAGCCAAGTGCCAAATTTTTCAGTGACTTAAATCATTTACACGTCAACGATGTCATATCTTAGCATCGTTGAAACTACTTCGTTGAAATTGTGCAAAAGTGACAGTATTCTCATTGGAGAACATGGAACATTTTTCCCTAGAGGAACGGGAGTCTTCCAATTTTGTCACTTGCAAATGCTCCTCGACAAAGAACATTTTTAAAGATTGATATCCAACTGAACCGAAATCCTCTTTGTGCTCATAATGTTTTGATCTCGACGCGAATTCGCTCGATTTTTTGACTGTGTATATAGGTGTGTGTGTGTGTGTATGTCGGTAAATACACGCGAAATTAACGCGGCTGATTCGACTTTGGCGTGGTGCCGTGACGAGATGAGATGAGATGAAAACGTTGCGCGTTGATTGAGCGTCGGGAGCTACGTACACCGAGGGAAATTATTATCGTTTCTTGCGGCTTCTGCTGAATTTGGCTCGTAAGAGGCTGCGCGTTACGTGAGCGGACTTCCGCTAAATCGACGGGAAACGTTGGTTAAATTGCTCGTAACTTGTATCTGTAAAACATAATAGAACACGCTGTTTTAATTGCAACCCTCGTGCAATTTGCTTTTCGTTCCCGCAGTTTACATTAACAACTGTGTTTTCCGATTGATTGCGCGTGCCGAGGCAGGGCGAATGGTTCGACTTATTTATCTATGTTTATTCGTTCGTGGCATTCGGCGGAAGGAATTTATTTGCTTCGATAATCCGAGAAACAAATTGACAAAGAGGCACGTACATCCGCCGGTACGGGCTAGAGCAAACGAAAAGAAAAGTATAGGAAGAGGATGAGTATCGAAGGCGGAGATCTGCTCGTTTGACACGTTCTGAAGTGCACCCGTTGCTCTTGCAGCGAGAACTCGATGTCCCGCCACTTGATATTCGCCAATGTTTAGAAATCCACGCCAAGTCTATGCCATCAGGCGATGTTGACGTTGGATATGCGCACACGTGGAACGTAACGGAGATTCACGAACAACCGTGAATGTTAAAATATAGAAGATAATGCGCAAAATTCAGCAAACACCTTTCAAATCATCGAGAAAAAGAATTAATATTTTTTGAGGTAGAATCGACAATGTTCAATGTTGTATATTTTTTACATTAACATTAGACAAAGTATACTTCTCGTTGAAATCATTTGAAAATTTATTCGAAATGTGAATCTTCCGATTCAAATTACAAAGATTAGTTGTAAATCGGTAATGCAGGTTAAAATCCAGAAATTAATAAAAGTGCAGTCAGTCTAGGTTCAACGCTTCGACGCGAAGATTCGAACCTAATACGCCAAAATCTTCGAACTGGCAAAGAAATAAAATTAGCCGATCGTCCAATTACGCGAAACAAACAACGAAATTGAAGCAGCAGGAAAATTTACAACCTTTTCTCGAATTGACTCGAATCTTCGTCTGAGAAACAAGTGTCGAACGAATGAACTCGAGAGGCGTCGACCGTACGAAACAAAAGTAATGAGTAGCACCTCGCCGAGTAAAAATTCAATCTACCGACCGCGAGTGAATCTCTCGGGTTCAATTAAAACAACGCGGGAACGATACTTTCGCGAGAATTATCAAAAAGCAGAACGGATGTCGTTCGCAATAGGCACTGCAGGCCGTCGTCCGATTTGAAAAAGTAATAGCCAGGATAAAAGGTCCCGGCGAGCAGATAGCGCCGGCACAAAGGGAGCTTGAAATAATGAAAATTTCACGGTGTTAATTAATTTCAAGGCATTTATCCAGCATTTATATCCTTCGATCGACCTTTTCTGCCTCCCTTTTCCCCCTCCCGTCGATATTCGACTCTTTCGCGCAGAAACGATCGCGGGCCGTTGTGTTAGTTTTGTGCGGTGCCCGAGTCGAAAGGACCGATAACTGTCATTAACAACGTTCAATCGGGAAGGAAAAATATCGGTTTGCCTTTGCTCTGGTGGCGTTATTTCGCGGACGGCTCGCGTGCAAACATCGACGACGGTGGTTGGATATCAATTTCATTCGAAAATCCGTATGTATTACGTTGCCGCGCCACCGTCCATAGACAGATCAATGGCTCGAACCAGCGCGATTCCTCTTTTTCTCTCTTTTTTTTCTTTTTTTTTTTTTTTNTTTTTTTTGAACCAGCTCCCACGGATAGATTTTCCTAGTGAAAAATACAGAACGACCGTCGTTTTCGTCGACGACGTCGGCCGACGAAAAATCCCTGACCACGTCTATCGTTCGCCGAGCGCAAGAATACCCAAGAGCACACCGGAAATTCCTTACGCGAGGTACCTTCGTAACCCGGAAGATTGCAGAACGAGTTTTGATCTATCCTCTGAACTCGTTACTTCCGCCTCATTAGACAATGAGCACGATAATCTCGTGAAAGTTGTCGTGAAACGCGGCGCAGAGTTTTCGGTCGCCGTCCCGGTGATACGAAAGAGGAAGAAACGAGGTTGGAGTAGTTTTTCAAGCGAGCCACTTTCATGGAAATTCTGTGTGCGCGTTCACTAGTTTGCGTGTCGAGGTATTATCGAGACAGGAAATATCAACAGCCGACAGGTAGGTCGCGGATTATTTCTGTTTTTTTTAGAATCGTGATTAAGCAAATGGAATCTTGGTGGAAAAATACCGCGTATCGTGAAGGAAATTCTATATGACTTTCTTTGTTCAATTTTCTGAAATTTCCATAAATTGTCCAAACGTTTTAAAAATTATATTCACAAGATTAAAAGTATACGATAGCCTTATATGCATAAACATTACCATAAATATTTGTCCACTTGGTGGAATATTTTTATTCATAGTTATCGATGTCAGATATTATTTCTATAATCAGTTGTAATATTTGCATAACTGTGAAAAAATATATATCTTTAAATTTGGTACAAATATATTTTGTTACGAAATAAGAGTTACCAAATGTTTATGAACGATAAATTAACATATAATTAATATATTATATATATATATATATTAATATAATACAGAGAGTATAATAATATATATATAAGTATATATTATATAATAATTGTATAATATATAATATATATTATATTTTAATTATATAATAATTTAATTATATATGTTATGTAATTATATTATATAATAATTATACGCAATATATTATCGTTCATAATAATATTAATATTACAGCCACGAAGGTTTATAGAGTGCTCGTAAATTTCTTTATTAGATTGAAAAAATCAGTGTGAATTCCAGAGTACTGGTTGGGCAATGATAATTATATAGTACTTGAATCGTGGCTTTCACGAGCACCGTAGCCTCAACATTTATCTCATCTACTTAGCTGGCAATTGCGAAAGAGTAACGAAGCAGGATAAATTACACGGTTACCTTTTAATCAGTTCATTCAACTAAGGTAGACGCGGTCTTAACTTGACTACTACCGACATTACTGTCGCGCACAGCAATAC